AAACTGACTCACTCACTCCAGTTTGATCTATGTTTTGGGTGGGTATCCTAGCCAAATATATAGCTATGTAGCGAAACCACTACTAAAACCAAAGGGGGCGGTGGGGTAGCCTAATGGTTATAGCGTTCGCTCGTCACGCCGAAGACCCGGGTTCGATACCGCACATGGTGAAGCCCATTTCTGGTGTCCCCCACCGTCATGTTGCTGCATTATAAAAAGCGGCAGAAAACATTATTCCCACAAAACATCTGGCTGCCAAGCTCTTATCTCTCTATTCTAAAATGGACTCGTCTTGCGCTATACACATACGAAAACACAATTGTTTAAGGAGGTTAAAAAGGAGGTTTGGAGTCCTGAAAACCAAACAGATAATTACAATAGTCATCATAATTATTAATGGTAATCAATAGCAGTCTATTTATATGTTGCAACTTATTAAGGGTGAAAATACAAATGGAGAAGATATTTTTTCATAAATGTTACGTGTGACGTTTCTCCACTCCCACACTGCACGAGAAGCCATCCTAATAACATTATCTCAGAGAGGGTCAAGTGAAGCCTTGATGTCAGAAACACTCTTCAGTTTTATCTCAAGATTCGACAACGCACAAAAAAGTTCATTCACCTCTATAGTCGGTACAGCGTTCGCTCGACACACAGGCCTGATTTGCTCTGAGGCGGTGGGGTAGCCCAGTGGTTAAAGTGCTCGCTCAATCACGCCGAAGACCCGGGTTCGATTCCCCGCATGGGTTCAATGTGTGAAGCCCATTTCTGGTGCTAAAAGCGGCGTAAAACCATACTCACTCTGATTTGCTTCCGTACTCAAACTGAAAGCATTTATGACATTCAAGTATTATTTTACATTTGGTAGAAAGCTGAAAGATTCTATCAATAACACTAAGTATTTAAGTATATGGCTCACTGACGCATTGATGCCAGATCGATGCTCATTACGTCTGGTCCAGGTCGATTGTTTAAAAATGCTGACAAACAAAATGGCCGAATGACACTGCTTATACCATCAGACACCAGTTTATCTGTCTCTGTGTTATTTTTTACAGTTCGTCGTTTTATTGTTTATGTTCATAGATTACCAAGAATTACCTTAACCGCATCAAAACTATTATAACCCCTCCCCCAACATCTCCCCATCCTTTCGTCTCCATCACCTTCAACAGACCCTAATGAAATGTATCGTAGAGTTGCTAAACTTACAAACCCTCATTCACGAGCTTCAACACAAAAAATTATCAACCTTTGAGAGGTACATTCTTGTCGGAAGGTTTGAATGATTTAAATCCCCGTTTCATCTTTCACAAATATACAACTATATACATACACTTGAAGCGGTGTGTTTGTTAATTGCAGTAAAAGCCATGTCAGTTACACTTGAAGTATTTTGATTGACACATGTCAAACAACATTGGGCTTGTGATAGACTACACAAAAAACAGGACTAGCTTTCACACGAAAACGGAGTGTAGTTGAGCGTTATGCAGTGTCATCAAAAATGTCATCCGCTGGATTTGTTATATGAACAGTTGAGATGAAGATGATTTGTGGAATAGGTTCAAATGACATCATTATTTCATTTCATGTTATATTCACCGCTTTACCAAACATCCCGTAAACTGTCTGCAAGCGACCACCCAGGAGACATCTCAACTCCGGACCTGTAAATTCTTATGGCAGATCAATTACCTTAACAATAATAATCAGACCCTGGCTCTCGCACAACAGTTACAGAATGAAACAACAATTTTGTTATTTTCATATTCACATACAATTTCATATGATAAACATGTTTATAAGATAAGAAACTGCGATTGAAATACATGGTTCTGGTTGAACAACACAATAACACCCAATAACACCCAATGTGAAGAAACAGTATTACAGAGTGGACAATGTGCGTGGTAAACAATGCTAAGACAATAATACTAAGTGTTAAATCCACTTGTGTTGTTTCATTGGTCCCCAAACCGCCTCCGTGGTGTAGTGGTTAGAGCGTCCGCCCGGAGAGCGGAAGGTCGCGGGTTCGATCCCCGATCGCGTCATACCAAAAGACGTTTAAATATGGTACTTGTTTGTCCCTGCCTGGCGCTCGGCGTTAATGGGTACAACAAGGACTGGTCGGCTCGGAGTCAGTATAATGTGTCTGAGTGGGGTATTCATGCTTCACTGCGGCATGGGCTAGCACTATAAAACCAGCTTAAGTCTGGGCTAGTACAAGCAGCCGCACATACACATACACACGCATGCACGTCGTCATATGAGCGAAATATTCTCAAGCACGACGTAAAACCCAATTTCACCTCACCTCACCTCACCTCATTGGTCCCAAAGAATATTAAGCAAAATGGCTACCTCCTAAGGTGACAGGCAGCCCGTGTTATTGGAGTCTGTTCAGACCGAGTTAGACTAACAACTAGTCTCTGAAATGAACATATTTTACAGAAAAAAAGTTCATAGTGAAAAAAAAATATATAATGAAAAGGAGCCCTGAGACTTTCTTCATTTTCAGAAGCTGAGGAAATCTAGACTTGCCACATTTTCTAGACTTGTGTGGGCTTTCTTGGATATATTTGCTTCAGGGTCTGTACGAGAGACTAAGACCGAGTGAGTGAGTGAGTTTTTACGCCATTTTCAGTAATATTCCAGCAATATCACGGCGGGTACACCAGAAAAGGGCTTCACACATTGTACCCATGTGGGGATTCGACAATCCAGTGATTGACGTCATGAACATCGGTCTGGGTAAATGGAATACGATGACATGCCCCAACTATGTCAGCCCCAGGGCCATATATAGTTTCCACTGCATGCACTGACCAGATCAGAACCTACCACAATGGATGGCCGTGTTTCTTTGTTTGTTTTTATAAGCCACACTCAGCAGTATTCCAGCTATATGACGGTGGGCTGTAAATAATCAACAATCCAGTTGCCGAGGCCAACCGCCCTATCCTATTAGTTGACTCTTGCGACAAGCATGCGCTGCTGAAGATCTATCGTAACCCTGATTTTGACGGATTACGATGCTGTTCTGTTTCACACTTCCCAGTGTTCTGTGTGCCAAAGGGGCGGTGGGGTAGCCTAGTGGTTAAAGCGTTGGCTCGTCACGCCGAAGACCCGGGTTCGGATCCCCACATGGGTACAATGTGTGAAGCCCATTTCTGGTGTTCCCCCGCCGTGATGTTGCTGGAATATTGCTAAAAGCGGCGTAAAACCAAACTCAGTCAGTCAGTCAGTCAGTGTGCCAAAGGAATCAAACATGGAACCTTTTGGGTTTTTCTTCAAGAAATGGTACCAAACTGTGATACAGAGCCCCCTGCCAACGCCCCCATATCTCGTTACGTCACCTCCAGGAGGTCATGTTGTCTTGCAATAAATTGTTTACTTCGATGTTCGATATATTTTATTGCTTTTTGCTATTGGTGTAAGAAAATGAAACCCGAACATTTAAATATAAATTTAATTTGACATGCAGCTACATGTACTTGAAACATGGGCGCGGTCACCTCCCACGCAGACTTACCTTCAACTGAATTGCCTACTAACTTGACACGACAGATAGTAAACTGGGCATTTACAGTGAAGGGTGTAACTCCCAATCTGCTAAAAAGGCAGTTGCCTGCACATGATTTTGTTAAAAATAACAACAGTAAGTTTTGTGTGAAGAAAACTTCATGCACATTTTATTGTGATGTTTCGATCTTCCCGCCATCCTGTAATCCGCTTGATGTCTGTAATCTACTATCACATGTGTAACCCTTTCCGTGTTTGCTTTATCAACAACATTTTAAGAATCTGCATTGAAATATGGCATGAGAATATACAGGACATTGCCATCCATAAAACATTCTCTTTAATTGAACACAGTACCAAATCCAGCCCAAAACAGACAATATGTTTGGGGACTTCTTTGAGAGGCATTTAGACTGACTGACTGACTGAGTTTGGTTTTACGCCGCTTTTAGCAATATTCCAGCAATATCACGGCGGGGGACGCCTGAAATGGGATTCACTCATTGTACCCATGTGGGGATTCGAACCCGGGTCTTCGGCGTGACGAGCCAACGCTTTAGCCACTAGACTACCCCACCGCCCCGAGAGGCATTTAGAAGTTGGAACAGTAAGGAAGGATAACAATATATGGACGAACAACTTCTTTATTGCTGTGAGAGCGATGTTTCGGTGTAGGTTATAACACCATTATCAAGGAAGTGATTCAGTTGTTCATCGATAATTGTTATCCTTCCTCAATATTTTGGGGTACTAATATTTTAAAGCGTTCGCTCGTCACGCCGATGATCCGGATTCGACTCCTCACATGGGTACAATGTGTGAAGCCCATTTCTGGCGTCCCCCGCCGTGATACTGCTGGAATATTGCTGAAGGCGGCTTAAAACCATACTTACTCACATTGAAGTTGTCATGGAGAACCATGGTCACTTATGTTTGGCATGAAATTAGCCAGGGATGCATATTGTGTGTATGTTACGAAAAGAATCAAATTCGGTTAAATTTGAACGTTTGTAGCGGCCATCTTCAAACATGTATCACACCAGATTTTTTTAATCGTTAACAAATACGATTGTAATTTTGAGTTATGTGTTCCTAAAAACTGTCTTAATATCATTCCACGTGCGGCGTGTTTATGAAATATGTCCTACCTGGGTATACAGTTATATATTATTTGATAAACCAACACGTATTCTGACATCCATGAACAGTTTATCTCATCAGCAAACAGTTTCACAGTATCCTCTATCTAATCGCCTGCAACGACTTGAATATTTATCTTGCTGGAATTGCGTAATCATCTCGTGAAATTTAACCGTTACACAAGTGCGCTGTTATGTTTGATCGCAATTCATTCACCTGGCCAGCATTGAAGCGTCTGATCAGATTTGTGAATGTAGCCACTCAGCCAATGAAACGCCGATACCAAAAATAGCAGCCAATCAGCTTGAGGCAATTACTAAGCACAACCGCAAGCAATGCAGACGACTTAGATATCAAACAGGTAGTCGATCGGTTCCCAACTTTAGCCGTGGAGGAAGCAATCTGACCGATTACCTATGTAGCTATGAAGTGGAGCTGCTTTGGGGGAATTACCCTTCTTCTGGGAGTAATTGGAGTAATTTCGGACACTCAACACATCCTCTGGGGCCAGTGTTACTCGAACTGTCTCTCCCAACATTTGGATATCGCACAGGTGAGTCCCGAATACACTCGTTATCACAAAACGACCGTTCGAGTCTAACTTTCGGTTTCCAACACGTGTTAAGGGCCGTCAGTTTATTATATGCGTTGTGTTTTCAAAACAAGGACGTTTGGTCGTGCTTGTATTGTCATAGGGGTTTGACAGCTCTATATAAACGTTGCGAGCGATCTCGCTTTAGGTACTTCCTGCCCTAAAATTGTTTATTGTGGACAAGCGTCTGCTAGCACGCTGCGAGATAGCCTGTTGACAAGCTTGGTCCGGGAAGGTTGGTTGTAAAGTCACATGAGAGAAGCTAGACCGCATTACGCATCAAAGGACATGAACAGTCGGCTGGAATGTATGTTTATTGCAACAAACAATACATCTTGCATTTGACAGTGTGGCGGTAAATTATCCAATCGACATAATGGAGACAGCAATGAATGAAATATTTACACACTTTTTATTTCACTTGAAAATCTACACTGTCACTTCTGCAAGAACCTTTGTGGGCTAATTACTTTATTTCATGCATGGAACCGATCACCACCCTCATCTAAGATTTAATTTTTATTTGAATGAGAGACGGATACAATTGCCTATCAAGTGTCTCGCCATGACATGGTCACGTCTTATATTCTTCAGCATTTTTATGAATGTGACATTTTCAATTTGGAATCTAATCACATTCTGTCAGACGAGCTACACTCCACGGTCCAGATCGCAAGGACATTGCCTGAATCGTAATAGCGTCTCAGCACGGATGTCGCCAAGCATGCCTAAGTGGTGTAAAATTTCAAGAATCAAGCACTTTTCGATTGTCGGCCATACATTTGTATGTATCGCATGCGTTCCTTCCCAGAAATAATGTTTCTCCTGTTGCCATGACTTGCATCTCTTTACACAGCCCGTAAATTGTTACAAAAGAATATCACTTTGTGTTGAAAACCCATCTGGCTAGGTCACTCATACAGAACAAACACTTCAGCCTAGCTGTCTTTTCCTTAGGCGGAATTTAGTGTTGACCTCGTGACCCCTGGCGTGCCACACAACAGCATACTGCTATCGTGGAGACAATCTAAATGCATCGCTGATGTAATTAAAGATATAGATAATTATTTGTAAATTTAGCTGACAACGCAGATGAGATTAACACACCTATTCCGGCGAAACTTTATTATCGACTATCACTATCGTCATCTCTAGGACAGAGTCTAATCCGTGTCGGTGTGATTACTGTTGATAGTGGGCCACGGTTATATGGAAGTTATACAAGTACCAGCCAATGTGCTGTCGGAGAGATACCTATTTACACCAGGGCCTAGATTTTCGAAGCTCTCTTAGCGTTAAGATAGTCGTAAGTTAATGTTAATGTATGGCACTTACGACTATCTTAGCGCTAAGAGAGCTTCGAAAATCTGTGCCCAGTCCTGCAAGAGCCAAGTAACGTTAAAAACAATGGCATGTATTTTACAAGGTTAAACTATTCTGGGAGATATGAAATTGATGTTTTGTGCAATGTTACAGATTAGTTTTGTAAAGAAAACTTCACGATTGACAGGGTATTATTCAATATATGAAACAATGAAATCAGTAAGAGATACAAATATTTCATCAGTTTCCATGGATTTGTCTAGACTTGCTTGAGGACGACATTCAGCCCAATGTCTGCAGCAAAGGCCATTAAAAATTCACAAAATGGATATAAAGTTTCCCAATTTAAGTTACCATGTATAACAAATAGTTAGATTTAATGATTTGTAGAAATAACCAGTATTTCACCGATAACAGGAAGAACAAATAGAAGTTGAAATCCGTATATCATTGCTTTGAATGTAGTCTCATGCAATACAAGCCTACCTCTGTATGTAAGAAAACAAGAACAAGTAATCCCAATTCTGAACAATATATGGAGTTTTCTTCCAGTTTCCTGTCAGGGGCACTTAAATTAGAATCCTGGATAAATCTCTGGTTTCTATTCTCTAAGTTACAAGATAGTTGCTTGTCAAACCAATCTTTGTGTACTATATATTCAATTCAGACGATGTATTTGCCAGATATTGAAAATTCGATGAAGATCAAACTGTCAACAGTTGATGTAAGTTCTGTTTAAGCAATCATTTTGGCTATTCTAGTGTCAATGACAGATGTATAACTGTTGACGTAATTCTGACATCATCAAGTAATATAAACCTAAGAATTTCTTTGAGAGGCATTTTAGAAGTTGTATAGATGAAGGAAAACCAAGTTCTATGTATAGTCAACTTCTTTATTGCAATGAGTGCGACGTTTCGGTGTAGGTTCTAGGTACTAACATCGCTTGCTTGATAACGGTGTTAGTACCTACACCGAAACGTCGCACTCATTGCAATAAAGAAGTTGACTATCCATAGAACTTGGTTATCCTTCAGCCTAAGAATTAATAATGGAGCAGTAGTGTAGATGTATTTAATTATTACGTGGCCAGAACACTTAATCCTATGGTAAAATAAGGCTACAAATACATTGAGATGATCGTGCTTATGGCAGATTTCTTAACATATATCCATTGACAGTTATTGATTGCGTATGTCGCTATTTAATATTCGGCTGAAATAACACATGAACTCTAGTGTTCTGGACCAACAGATCTAACTGCCACTGCCTTGCACGAAACATGATGACATTCACACCTCCCCATAGTCCAACAACCTTCCACATAAGGATTACATTGACTGAAGCATGTCCTTCTGCAATGGTACCTAAGATCGTGAACACACGCTGGTGATCAAATGACGTGTTCTCGGTCCCCACCCGTAATGTATACAGGTGCTTCTTCTCTACATTGAACACAAATCTAACCATTTCAACAGAACTATAAGAGCCTTTAACTGTAACAAATCTATAGATAGCTTACTGAGGATACCGACATATGCTGGGAGTAGGATTGTAAGATTCTTAAGTAGCTGTACCACATACTTCCACCCGCCTGACTGATCTGGGAATGTGGTTGTGCGTGTACCAACTCTATAACATTGAGAGTTGGACATCGTCCCTATTGCCCAAAGGCATTAGTATAAAGCGTGTCTCTATTGACACGTTTGCGGTTTGTGCCTAATGCGATTGCTGGTTATTGTTTGGCATATATAAACAAATCTCATACATGATAAATTGTGAAGGTTTAGTGTAGTTTGTTGCCAGGTCAGCACATTGTGTGACCTTGCTGGGTGACCCTGGTGTGTATGACAGGAACAATCAGTGTCACCTTAAAGGGGCACTGCCGTCATCATGATCGCCCTATCCAGGATCGAGTTAAATATAGGCTGTACCTCATTGAAAGATATGGAAATAATATCAATGGTGGAAATATTCTTAATATAAGCCTGGCTAATAAGATCGATATTGGGAAATATCGTTAAGAATTATTAACGATTTTCGATGTGATAATTGTGGCATCGATAATATCGTACTTAAACTCTTCTGATGAAATATAGTTTTAGTTTACTCACACAAGTTTAACAGCAGTTTTGAAGGTTAATGTTTTGCGCAAAACGGTGGGTGATTAATCAACCATTAATCACTAAGTATTAGGCAGCAGTGTTTTATTAAAGGAGAATATAAGAAAATGGTATATAATTTCCTGGTATTACTCATCACTCCATAGTCACAGTCTCGTCACAATCATTAGTCATAACCTGACCATAGGGTGCTTGTTGTCTAACAACATGCAACTGGATTACTGTAAGGGGTGGTGGGGGACCGTAGTGGTTAAAGCGCTCGCGGAAGACCCAGGCTCGATTCCCCACATGGGTACAATGTTTGAAGCCCTTTTCTGGTGTTTCCCTCCGTAATATTGCTGAAATATTGCTAAACTAAACTCACTCAAGAAATATAATATGGTAATGTGCAATTAGGTTAATTCTTGAGTGTTAGGCAGTTACATAATAATACGCTCCTTTCTCCGCGGTTAACAAAAGATAGAACTACCTCCTTCCCACTTAAATACAGTTCCATTTGGCGTTTTCAGATGTATATGTAGCCTTGGGTAAATAATTTAAGTGTTTCTTATCTATCATGTGTACGTACATTAGGCATATATATTTCATTGTTTGCAGAGTGAGTGAAGTTGTAATGTTGTTTGTGAGTGTGTGTGTAAAAAATGCATTTGTTCAGATTGCCTTTCAAGATGCTCTAAACATGTACCTTATTATTTCTACACAATACGGTCGTAGATAACACGGATATGAACATGATTCGGTTTCCGGAAGACAGTAGAGCAGTCTTTGACACATTGGGAATAAGGTTTTGTTTGTTTGTGCTCATTGTGAAAAGACATTAATATGATATATTTGGGCGGGACCGTTCTGTAAGAGGTTCAGAAAGTTTGACCTTACGCTTCTTCTGAGAGTTGCTGATGCGCAAGAATTCTCACGCTTGACTGGAGAATAAGAGAGAGGTCTTTGTACTTGTGTTCCTCAATGGCCTCCCAACATTATAAAATATTTACTCCTTTATATGTTATTCCATTTTAGTTACGAGCCCAGAATACGTAATTATTTAAGTAATAGAAATACTACAATCTGTTTGTCTTTGTGGGGGAGACCACAATAGAATGACACAAAGGCTTGCCTGGTTTGCACTTGTGGGCGCTGTTTGATGTGAACTCTAGAACAATGCTATCAGGAATTGCTTGGGAATTATTTTCAGCACTCATGCCAGTGTTCAATGGGTGAAACTGTTGAGAATGTTTTGAATTATGCATTTGCCTCATTTTGTCCTACTGAGACAAGTACAATCAATGGAACCAAAGATAGAACAAAACCAACTTTCAGGTATCAGTTACTCCACTCATCTGAGACATGAGAGCCAATCGGAAACAAGCATTGGTGTTGTGTTAAATACTGGACTGGAAGTCAGTTGACTGTGAAACACGGAGGTAGTCGTCATCCTTGGATTTTTGGTTTGCTTGTTGTTTAACACTGCACTCAGCAATATTCCAGTTATATGGCGGTAAATAATCGAACCTGGACCAG